TGTGACCATGACAACCCGCTGTTTTGTTATTCAACAGATTGCTTTATGCGCAAACTGCAGTTTTGTTTCATAGTACCACACATAAATGTTTAACATCGTATTGTTATATACAAAGTCCTGTGTTATGGCCGTGTTAAAATATGACAAGTTAAAAATTGCAGTAAAATTACAATTATCTCTCTTTCATGTTCTTAATTTAAAAATGTTTCGCTCAGAATATTAGTTCAGTTCAGTACTAGTTCAGTTACTCTAGAAAGTTATTGATCGTAACCACCAAATAAGCTTCTTTCTCTTTTTTTTTTATTGCTTAAATGAGTGGACGAGCTCACGGCCCACCTGGTGTTAAGTGGCTACCAGAGCCCATAAATATCTACAGAGTAAATGCTGCCACCCACCTTGAAATATGAGTTCTAAGGTCTCAGTATAGATACAACGGCTGCCCCACCCTTCAAACCGTAACGCATTACTGCTTCACGGCAGAAATAGGCGGGGTTGTGGTACCTACATTGGTTGAGTACGTATTTCATTAGAAAAATTGGTACCCGCCTGCGGGATTCGAACACCGGTGCATCGCTGGATACGAATGTACCGGACGTCCCTTTAGGCCACGACGACTTATAGAAGTCTCTTTCAAAGATTTTGGATAGGAATTCTCAACGGTACGTGTTATGACAGGAAACTTTTCAGACACCATGCATTACCAAGGACAGACTGATTATGCATTACTCTAGGTAGAGTGATCTGTGAGTCCGCATGACTAGTTTGAAGTTTTGGATGGTCGTACTGTAAGCTGAGACTTAGAACTTATGTATCAATATGAGTGGCGGCACTTTGTGGATGTCTATGGGCTCCGGTAAACACTTAACAGCAGGTAGGCTGACAACTCGTCCACCCATCTAAGTAATAAAAAATGAGACTTCTAAGTCAGATCTCAAGGTCCACGTTACAATGGGAATGATCGAAACACTAAACACGCTTGGAGCTCAACTATCCGATATATCTTGAACTGTATCTTTTATGTTTGATAATGAATATTAAATCAATTTACTCACAGGCCAGACAGTGAAGTAGACTATTATTTTTACAACATAATGATATGGCAATCATACCATCTCATATTAAGCATCCCTGTCTAAACTAGATCGATTATAATCAAATCACAAAACAAATAAATTTTACCCCAAAACCGAACGACGGAGAGCTTTCTCGCTTTTTGTACGAGCTTCCGTTTGTACATCATCGAGGGCTCTTGTTACGTCGGCCACATTACTTAACCCTCAAAAACGCGTTAAAACTCAATAGAGCGGGAGCCAACAATATCTATTAGCTTAAACATAGATTACAAAAGGTAGAAGGTATTGAGACCTTAGAACTTATATCTCAAGGTGGGTGGCGCATTTACGTAGTTGTCTATGGGCTCCAGTAACCACTTAACACCAGGTGGGCTGTGAGCTCGTTCACCCATCGAAGCAATAAAAAAAAGAAAAAAAAAAAAAAAAAAAAAAAAAAAAAAAAAAAAAAAAAAAAAAAAAAAAAAAAAAAAATTGCAGAACCAAAGTATGTGTCACTTATTTTTAGTGATCAAGAATGTTGAAACTTCCAATTACCCTGGTGTTAATTCGTATCCAGATCACAAAGATTTGGCAATTTCAAAACATCACTGTACTGGTGGTAGGACCTCTTGTGAGTCCGCGCGGGTGGGTACCACCACCCTGCCTATTTCTGCCTTGAAGCAGTAATTCGTTTCGGTTTGAAGGGTGGCGCAGCCGTTGTAACTATACTTGAGACCTTAGAACTTATTCTCAAGGTGTGTGGCGCATTTACGTTGTAGATGTCTATGGGCTCCAGTAACCACTTAACACCAGGTGGGCTGTGAGCTCGTCCAACCATCTAAGCAATAAAAAAAATAAAAACATAATTACGAAATCTCAAATTAAATTATCATTAATAGCAGTACACAAATAAGTAGTATTACAGTAATAAATTTAACAACTTTTATCATCACTTCAAAAGTACATCAGAAAATGAATGAATTTCTAGAAATAGTTATTTTAAACCAAAAACGTGATGACCCTACCAATTTATTTATTTAAACAAACTGTATTGTGATGGCGACAATGCCATTCCGTTAAACACCACACAGACAAGAGTTTCCAAAAAAAAAACACGTTTTTCAAAACCCCTCCAGATTTCCAGTAGGAAACTAAATTTCATAATGAAATTTTTTTATTTCATATTCACGCGACCACGAAATACATCGAAATTGTAAATAAATCGCTCTAGTTTTCAAAGTATTATATGAATGGTAATTAGGAAACAGCAGGACTTAAATTATGGCGTGTTAGGTACGGTGAACTATCTTATACATATAGAGGGCGAGTTGAATAACGCCCGAAACCAATAACATATCCGCAATCCGAGATTGAAAGCAATCTAGATATGTTAATAGCCATGGATCGATCTTCGATCCGAGTCCCAATAACTAATCTCTACAGCTGCAATCCTTTTTTAACAACGGATAGCCGACGATCCTTTCCCTCTTAACCATTCCGTCTTACGCCGACCTTTAATATTCATTATGGTATGTTCATTTATTTGAAGTCCCAAATATACCATTAAATTTTTCCTATAACTATTTGGATTTAATTATTTATAAAATTGCTACTATAATACACCATATTTGACGTCTAAAAATGTTATAACTTCTTAGTTTAGACGTTCATGGACGAATAATTTTGTACAGTGAGTAACGGAACGTTACGAAAACAGCCATTGGCATTTAAACAAAAATACGAAAAGTTAGTTTGTATGTACTGTGTTTCTTGTGTTTAATTTTCATTTTGCAATGGATTCTGAAGTGGTAAGTAATTTTGTGACATAAATTACATATGTAAAATACAATCTAGTGATGAATTGTCCTTTCCCACGCATTGTTTAATGTAGTTAAAAAATACAATAACCTTTTCACTTTTAGGTAAGAGGCAAACCTCTGTCTAAAGATGAAACGAAAGCGTTAATAGAATTGATAGAGAATAGCAGAATAATAACCACCAAGACAACCAACGCCACCAACAACAGCTTAAAAAAAAAAGAGTGGCATTGTATAGCGGAGCGATTTAACGCAAACACAGCTACTTGTCGTCGTACACCGCAACAACTAAGGTTGAAGTGGGAAAATTTAAAGAAGAACTGTCGCAAATACAATACCAAGATAAGGATGAATCGCATTAAGGTTAGTTTGAATCATTATATCACTTACTGCTGTTTTCTTGGACATGACATTTATAAGTGATTAAACAATATTCAATTTCTTTTCCAGACTGGTGGTGGCGTTGCTGAATATATACCTCCAGACGAAATATTGGACAGAGTGGGTTCATTATTAGGAAGCACAGTCAGTGGATTCGTAGTGCCATTTGGGGGTGATAGGGAACCAGAAATGGTAATTGCTGGTTGTAGTGACTGTGCTAACATTGACTCCTCTTGTGAAGATGCCAGGGTTTTAAACGTGGAAATTAAAAATAACTCAACCCCACCAGTGTCTTTGGCCAAATCTGTTGTGTTGGACTGTGAGTTGAATGACAATAGTGAGGTTGTGTTGGCTCCAGACGAACCTCACCATGTCACATTTACTACACCTAGAAGAGGTAAAAATAATTTTTAATGTTGTAAAGTATGTATGTGTTTTTAGTGCTCTATGTACATATTATGTGCATTCACTAATACTCATTGTTAAACNACCCCACCAGTGTCTTTGGCCAAATCTGTTGTGTTGGACTGTGAGTTGAATGACAATAGTGAGGTTGTGTTGGCTCCAGACGAACCTCACCATGTCACATTTACTACACCTAGAAGAGGTAAAAATAATTTTTAATGTTGTAAAGTATGTATGTGTTTTTAGTGCTCTATGTACATATTATGTGCATTCACTAATACTCATTGTTAAACAAATTGAAAATAAACAGTTTGAGGCCATATGAGGCCTATAAAATCAAAGGCAGCTAAATCCAAGTTTGTCAAATGTTCAGGTAAACTACAAAAATCGGCCCTAAACAAGTAATTACGGATCCTACGGATCCATCAAAGTACTGCTCTTGTTAGGGCCAGTGTTAACAACACTTCCGGCTTGAGAATCTGAAATAACTTTGTTCGGATAGCTACGATATTCTTTATTTTAAAGCAGATTTATAAGGAATGAGAATATTACTAATAATCTGAATTTCAAATGATAAAACTTCATTTATTAGTACTTAGTACAGGGTAAAAACATTTTTTTGAACTGAATTTGTTAGAGATTTAGCTGCGTTTGTTATAACATGAAAACACTAAGGCGTGTCCAACTAACTAAACAAGATAGCCCCATTGTTAATCCATTTTACGACATTAAGGCGTTTAGCTGCCTTTGATTTTATAGGCCTCATATGTGTAAAAGCCTATTGTTGAACAACAATTCTCAATAAACATTCATATTTAATTCCAGAGAAAAAAAAAAGGAATCGAGATGAAGGAGGATCTGCAAGGAATGTTGCAATAGCTGAGTATTACACAGAAAAGAAAAAAAATTTGAAAAGCAACTTGCTACAAAACAAGTTAAAAAACAAGAACATTAAATTAGAAAATAAAAAATTAAACTTAGAGATAGAAAAATTAAAATTAGAAAATCAAAAATTAAAATTAGAAAATCAAAAATTAAACATAGAGTTAGAAGAAAATTAAGATTAGAAGATAAAAAATTTATGTTAAGATAGTTAATTTAAAGTTCGAAATATTAAATAAATAACTGTAAAAAATATAAAAACTAATTGTAAGCATCTTTTCATTTAAAATTACATCATCATCATCAACCTTTCGGTACTCACTGCTGGGCATAGACCTCACCTTTTATTCAAGTGGATATCAGTGCGATGTCCACTGAACTCTATCAATCAGAAAAATATGGAAGTTTAACATTGAATAGTTTTTTATTACAAAGATAAATAAAACATAATTCAGATACAGATTCATAATTATTTAATATACATATTACACAAATGAAATTTTAAGATTATTAATTTTATTAGTTCTCTTCTGAATTAAAAAAATTATTTATAAGATCAGTTCTTCCACTGATATCTTGCATATCCATATTTTGAGAGCCATCTTCAACATTATTGTCTCCACCCAGTATCTCAACTTCTGGAGGTACTTCCTCAAGGCTGTGATTCCTGCAGATGTTGTGTAATACAGCAGTGGCTATTATCACTGACTGAGTTACTGGCTGTGACAAACGGAGTGTTAGTGCTAACACAGGGAAGCGACGTTTCCAGACTCCAAATGTGCTGTACAAAAAAAGAATAGACTATGATCCAAGAATAAAAAAGTAATCTATGTATGTAAAAGTATTCTTCAATTATTACCGTTCAATGGTGTTCCTAGTTTTTATATGTGCTTGATTGTATCTCAGCTCAGCTTCTGTCACTGGATTCAAAACAGGAGTCAGCAAGTAAGGTCTGTTGGGGTAGGCACTATCTCCAAGTAACCAATGGTTACCAAACTGACCTGCATCACATTGAGCTGCAAAAAATATTACATAAAATTATTCATCTGCAAAAAGTAATGATATTGTGGTTTATAAAAACTATAAAATAGTTCACCTCTCAGAACCGAATTGTTAAAAATAGTCGCATCATGTNTTCAAAACAGGAGTCAGCAAGTAAGGTCTGTTGGGGTAGGCACTATCTCCAAGTAACCAATGGTTACCAAACTGACCTGCATCACATTGAGCTGCAAAAAATATTACATAAAATTATTCATCTGCAAAAAGTAATGATATTGTGGTTTATAAAAACTATAAAATAGTTCACCTCTCAGAACCGAATTGTTAAAAATAGTCGCATCATGTGCAGAACCTGGCCAACGAGCTACAACATTCATTAGTCTCAAATCAGCATCACATACAGCTTGGATGTTATAGGAGAAGTAACCTTTCCTATTCCTAAATTCTTCTCCAACTAAGCGGCCTGTAATATGTGTAAAATGAAAATTATTTAAACTTATTTCACGAAAATTAACATCAATTAAATAGGATGTTAGTTTTACTTTGAACTTACATGGAGATTGTATGCGAATATGTGTACAATCAATTGTTCCAAGAACCCGAGGAAATCCAGCAATTCTGTAAAATTTCTCCGCTCCTCCTTGTTGCACATGTATATACTTATCATACAATCTAGCAATGCATATTGATATGTCTCTCACAATTCTGCCTGCTGTCGATTTCGACACACCAACAAAGTCGGCTATGGAGATGAGCATGGTACCCAATGCATAGAATCGTAACGTCAATAAGAGTTGATGTATTGGAGAAACTCCATGATTCCTGAAAGTTTATAACGAAAGTTTATTGCCGTGTAGATTCAGGTACATGCATAAACCTTGTGTATTATTGAGAAGGTATATACTAACCTTGATGAAGTCACGCGGATAAAAGGTATTATTTCATTTAAAAGCTGATTGACTGCAGGTTTAGATAACCTAAACCTAAAGGTGAACTCGGCATCATCGAGACTCTGCATGTAATTGATTCTTCGGATTTTTCGAGAAGCACGACGTCCCCGAAAGCCGTCATCGTGAAGATCAATATCATCACTATCGCTATCAGAAGCACTATTATCCCAATCCGATAATTGGCCTAAACCCTCTAGATCACTGTCACTATCACTTGTAACTAATGAAAAAGCCATTTTTCTTAGTTTTAAATTTAAAAAAACACAAAATATAAATACTTGAAAATTGTAATCGATCCTAATCTGAGCAATTCCTTGGATTGCAAAAACAGATTGTTCGCCCGATCGAAACAAACGTCAAAATGGAAAGATCGTTTATTAACACACCCTAACTGTCATTTACGTACAGAGGGCAATCCGCAATCTGGGATCGGTCCTCCCAAAGATTGAACATGTTGCAAGATTGCAATCTCGATCTATGGATTGGTTATTGGCACACTTTTAACGAAAAAAGGATTGCGTTTCCAATCTTAGATGGCTAAAAAGGGATTGAGATAGCTTATTAATTTCGGGCGTAAGTGTGCCAACCCAAAAACCCACCAAAACAGCGCTAGCGTTGCATGTGCTATGGATACGAATGTAACAATTGTAAACGGAGTGAATGGTGCAGAGTTGAAAAATTTAATAATTTCAATAACCATTGGCTCTATCTAATCGAACAAAGTTTGCTGCGGTGGCGTCAACTTTTTTTATTTATTGCTTAGATGGGTTGACGAGCTCACAGCCCACTTGGTGTTAAGTGGTTACTGGACCCCATAGATATCTACGACGTAAATGCGCCACCCACCTTAAGATATGAGTTCTAAGATCTCAGTATAGTTACATCGGCTGCCCTACCCTTCAAACCGAAACGCATTACTGCTTTACGGCAGAAATAGGCGGGGTGGTGGTACCCACCCGCGTGGACTCACAAGAGATCCTGCCACCAGTAATAACGCAAATTAAAATTTGCGGGTTTAATTTTTATTACACGATGTTATTCCTTCAACGTGGAAGTCAATCGAGAACATTTATTGAGTACGTATTTCATTACAAAAATTGGTACCCGCCTGGGATTCGAAAACCGGTGCATCGCTCAGCACGAATGCACCGGACGTTTGTTCCTTTAGGACACGACGACTTCAGATTCTGCGTAGCACTGCTCTTGCTAGGGCCAGTGCTAGCAACACTCCGGTTTGTACCCCGTGAGCTCACCTACATGTTAGGGCGAAAATGAAATAGCCTCTCAAGGCTATCAGCAAAGGTAGAAATAAGAAAAAAAAACATCGGGCACTTTATAACGGACACTTTTAATACAAACAAATAAACCTCAGCTTAGTTTTATATTCTATGACATCTCTCAAGTGTTGCAATAAGTTAATTGTTCGCAGAAGGGGCGAGGGTCGCGTTGTATCTTTATTGCGATACACAATGGTTCTGTTTTAGGATACCGAGGGTTAATTGTCAAACGTAATCGTAATCATTTTGCGTTGTATCTAGTCAGCGTTCTGGTGCACTGCATTCAAACTATAGTAGTCTATTTCATATTCAATTGGCCAGCTCAAAAGGATGGGTGTTGAGCTAAACTGATTGAAATCGCGACCTCCTGAGGCAGATCCGTCAAGGGTTTTTTTGATGTTGTGGGTTTAACTGTCGTGGATTCTTCGAGAAGTTCCAATAGTAGGGTACTACGCTTTGGCTGTGCTATATAGAACTTGAAGCATCCGATAGTACTGAGGGTGTTTCGTCAGGAGGTGAATCCATCAACACGTGTTTAATCTAGCCGCTAGAACCGCAAGAAGTATTTACCAGAATTTATCTATAGCATTTGGAGAAAAGATCAAATCATCTGTTTTGACGAGCGTGGAAATGAGCTGTAAAAACAGCAATACGCTTGTAATCGATTTAGAGGGGAGACTCGGATTATCTTTACGGACTTACGTTTGACGAATTAAAAAGGGGACGAAGGTGATACCTAAACTAGGAAGGATTATAAGAGCGTTTCAGGTTTTATTGTCATCTCATCCCTGTCAGTCACTAACGGCTTATGTATAATGAATTTTATGCACATAAAATTAAAAGATAGAATTCGGAATCCCATTTAGACATGAATGAAAACTTCTATCCTTGTGGGAAAGAGACAGAGCATACTTACTAAATACCCATAAAAAACTAAATCTATTAATTTTTATTTATTTTTATTGTTTACATGGTTGGACGAACTCACAGCCCACCTGGTGTTAAGTGGTTACTGAAGCCCATAGACATCTACAACGTAAATGCACCACCAACCTTGAGATATAAGTTCTAAGGTCTCAAGTATAGTTACAACGGCTGCCCCACCCTTCAAATCGAAACGCATAACTGCTTCACGGCAGAAACAGGCAGAGTGGTACCCACCCGCGCGGACTCACAAGAGGTCCTACCGCCAGTACAGTGATGTTTTGAAATTGCCAAATCTTTTCCTTTTCGTATATTTCACATCTTCCGTATAAAAAACACTGTTATGTATCTATAGCTTTAATATTATTCATATTTTGATATAGCTCTTAAAAATTGACTTTCATATAAAATTTGATACGAAAATGTTTTTACTAGTTAATTCAAAATAGAGTTTTTGCACATAGCAGATTTTGGTTTGATAGCCTCGATGTAATCAACTTATTTTACAGTAAAATAATTTTGAAAATAAAAATGAAAGCTCGCAGTAATATAATTGCATTTAGTTGTTGGCGGCTGCATGTACATTCGACACGCGCCGAAATTACATATTAATTTGATTTGTATTTCGTTGCCGCGTGCCTGATCCAAACTAGAGATACGTACATTATTTTAGACGAATCGGCTCGACTATTCGTTTAATATCAAATTATTGAAAACGGTCTTTAGCTTAATTATAAAATCGACGCTTGAAAGGCAAAAGTGACTAAGCGACAATAACTGCTTTGTACATAAATGATAGGCAATAACCATATTCGATACGCAAAAAATATATATTTCTAGGTCTATTAAAATCATTTCAATCCTACAGCTAATAGCTAAATTCTACTACAGCTAGATTCGTTAAAATAAATTTTGTTTTCAGGTATTTCAACTTTAAATTAGTCTACTGTAAAGTTCACGCATTGTCGCTTAGTCACGTTTGCCTTTCAAGCGTCGAAATGTTAACTATGAATGTGGAAGGATACAGAGGAAGATGTCGACCTAAGAAGAAATGGATGGATTGCGTGAAAGACGATATGGGTAAGAGGGGAGTGTGCGAAGAAATGGTATATGATAGAAGAGTATGGAAGGAGAAAACATGTTGCGCCGACCCCAGGTAACTGGGAGAAGGGCAGGATAATGATGATGATGGTCTTTACCTTAATCGAATTGTGAAATACTAGATTGGATAGCGTTGGTTGGAGGCTCAGGAATTACGAGGCAAGTCTGATTCTCTTTTTTTCCTTCCTTTTATTCTATGTAATATGTATTGTGAGCTTGCATAGCTTGGTACTAGCTTACTGTGTATTTCTGTGGCGAAGAAATAATGCGTTTCGGTTTGAAGAGTTGGAAAACTGTCATGATAGTAAATAATTGAAGTTTTGACCTCATGTTAGAGGAACAAGTGGCCGCATTTTCGTTATGATATTCATAAACTCCTGTATGTAACCACTTAACAGCAGGTGGACCGTGACCTCATTCACTTTTATATATAACTAGCTGACCTGGCAGACTTCGTAGTGCTGCAATCGATAAATAAAGTACCCAAACTTTTGTATCAAAAACAAAATTGTTATTTTTATTTAATTCTGAGTATTTTCATATTTATCTACCTTTTAAACCTTTTCTTGACTTTCATAAATAATTCAAGACCAAAATTACCCAAATCGGTCCAGCCGTTCTCGAGTTTTAGCGAGACTAATGAACAGCAACTCATTTGTATACTTATACTTATATATAGATTGAGCGAGTGATTCATCGTTTTTTCTATTGCCACTGCTAAAGCTGAAAGAGCTCTGAAATCATCTACCCTTGTCCGTTAACGACTGGATATTTTATATTCCAATTGTATTAAGAAAATCACTTCATCGATTGATCTAACGGTAAGGATAGTAAATAAAAATGGTAAATGTATCAATATGACAATACCAGAAAGCCGATTTCACTCAGATGTACTTAATTTTCATGAGCAGCAACAAAATATGGTGCGTGAACGGTTTTGATACTTTCCATTTATTTTCGAGTACAAATAACTTTTTGTTTGTCTTTAAAGTTGTCCGTACGGAATATCTGATGATGATTAATCACCTATGCTTTGCGATTACTGTCGATACACTCTGGGTATTTTAAGAAGCCGGTCGTGGAATGTGAAGAATAGTTCCACGTGCGACTTAATGCATTGACACAGCTCGATGTATCGCTTGGCCTGAAGGTTAAAACGACGCGACTCTTTGTAACCAAGTATGAAGACGTTCACGTGCGTGTGGTGGTTCGATCCTCAGCGCAACTTTATATACTCCCATTTTATTTGTCGTGGCCGCTGGAAACTACATACCCGATACTGTAGACCGAATGGTAAACCGTCGACGTCGCCCAAAGCACCTCATTACGGATCCTCCTGATCCATTAACGGTGCTTTTAGGCACCACAAGCACCAGTCACCGTTCTCGTTGAATCCGTCGCTTGCGACGTAGGGCTCGACGAGCGAATTAATCCATAGACACAGCCCACTGAGTTTCTCGCCGGATTTTCTCAGTGGGTCCCGATTCCGATCTGGTGGTAGAACACTGCTTTTGGTAGGGTAGATTTAGTAAGTTCTCTTAGGTTAAACTGCTTAAGTCCAGAATAGCCTCCGATCCTGCTGATAGATTGGTAGACTTACTTAGATAACCGCTCAGTTAAGACCCTGTAGTTTGTTATTAACTTTCTGCGATCTAAGTTATATGAAGGATGATGATGATGATTCATCCGATCGATTTCGGCCATGGCGACCACTTTGACTCCTATCCGTCGATTTGGCGCTCGTGCACTCGAAGATGGCTTATATAGCCTATCTTTGCGGCAAAACTCCTTGCGCATTGAGGGCACGTAAGCACGCCGTTCTCATAATTATAGGTTATGGCAGCAAGTGGGCGGGCCTTCAACTGGTCGCGTTTGTAATCAAGGTCAGCTTTACGCTGATCCTCGAACTCGCGTACTTTGCTGTTCACCATCCTGCGCCATTCTGGCCGCTGTGCTGCCAAGCGCTCCCATTGAGAGGGCTCTATATCACATCTCTTCATGTGTCGTTTCACGACATCCTTGTACCGCAGGAGTTGTCCGCCATGCTTTCGCTTGCCATCCTGCAATTCAGAGAAGAAGATGCGCTTCGCCACTCTTTCCTCCGTCATGCGTGATACATGACCGCACCATCGAAGCTGCCGACGCATTAAATAGGTCTCAATGCCACCAACATTGGCACGTCGCAAGACTTCGGTATTTCGCACTCTATCAGACCATCTGATTTTCATGACGGCACGAAGGCATTTAAGGTGGAAGCGATCCAGAGTGCGAATGTGGCGGCGGTACACACACCACGACTCGGAGGAGTATAGGAGGCTTGGCAGCACAATTGCCATGTAAACTGAGATTTTAGTGGCCAACTTAAGGTCGTGTGAGCAGAAGACCTTGGAATATAGCTTTCCAAATGCTGCAGCAGCGGCACCGACCCTGCTATTGATCTCATCATCAAGGTCACACTTGGATGTTAAAGTGTTCCCCAGATAGCGAAATTTATCCACCTGCTTCAACACATCCTCACCAAGCTTTATGGTTAGTGTCTCGTGACCGTGACT